AAAAATGGCCTAACAATTAGTATGAAAAAAAACTTCATTACTTAAATTCAACTGCTTATTCTTACTCCAACTTTTTATCGATTTAAGGGAGCAAACTGGTTTTTAAATGCGCAATACTTCGCGCAGCATGGTAAAATTAAGCTTATTTACACTCTTACAGCAATTATTTTAAAAAAATGAATTTTAACAAAATTAATAAATCACAGGTTGAAAAAATCTAACTACATATTTTTTTTCTTAAAATGACTTTTTCAATTTTTCGATTAATACATAGATTGACGACGAATAGTGTGTTTGTGACGTTATGAGGATTTACAGTACTTAAAAAAAAGGGGGTCATACAAATACCGTAAAAGAAAAGGTGTAACATATAAGCTCTTGAAATCTTAAACACAAGAATTTGACAATCTCACCATTATCTTTTCTTATTTTTTGTATAAAGTCTAAATTTATGTTATGTTTTTTAGTACGCGCTTCATAAAAACTGGGAAATTTATTAATTCTATCTTGAAAAAGCCTCTAGAAACCAGAAGATAGTATTACTCTTCTTAAAATTTGAACAAAATGGCTATCGTTTTTTTTTTTTTTTTTTTTTTTTTTGTATTATATGCTTTTATTATATGCTTTAAAATGCAAAACGTTAGCACTTTTTCATATATTCTTATACATGTAGTAAATGGCATTACATATTGATTTTCCCTAAATATACCCACCTGTTTACTCCTCCTAGGCACCTGATCCCATCTCTGGAATTTTCAGGGATCCATGGTTAATGCCCTCTTCAAATTTTTTTTATAGATTTTTTTTTGGATCAATTGCTGTTATAATTACCATTTTCATATTATACTTTCATTGGCGCTAGAGTTCAATTTAACACCGCTTTATTTTTTACATTTTATCGCACTGTTACTCATTTAAATCAATGTTTTAAGGCCTTTTGGAATATAACGAATTTTGTTTGTAATGAACCACTTTCGTTTTTAGTGCTTTCAAATTTTTACTGTAGAATACATTAAATAGTTTGAGGACAACAAATGATCGTTACAAAAACTTATAGAAATCAGTTATCATAGTTATGAATAATTATAAATTAGCAAAACTATTAGGCTTACTGGACATTTTAGCACAGATAAATTGAAGAAAGATGGAGCAGTAAAGCCAATGACATTTCTTAACCTCATTAGTGCAACGTACCTGAAGGAGGTAAATTAATCGTAACTTTTCCTTCCTCAGTGCCAGTGGTACTTTTATCTATGAAAATGAAACGATTTCAAAGGAACTTGTTTTAAAAGTCAGTTAAGAAGTCACTGCAAAATTATAAATGTATAATAATAAAATGCATTTTCAGGCTTTTTTTAGAAGATGGAATACTTTTCTTAAAGAAAAATCAAGTTATAAAACTATTGTTAATTTATTGAAACTACTTAGTATTAGTTCTCAATGCAAAAAAAAAAAAAAACAAAACAAAACAAAACAAAACAAAACAAAAACAAAAAAAACAAAAAAAAAAAAAAACAATTATAATAAACTCCTGTTGTCTGAGTATCTGTCAAAAATGACATTGTAATCTGGCAAGTCAATATATTATGACGTTATGAATTGCGTCATTTTCCCGTACCCTAAAAATTTCTTTAAAAAAAAAAAAAAAAAAAAAAAAAAAAACGAGGAACTTTAAGCTAAACATTAATATTTTGCATAGAGCGCAACCTCTGATCTAAAATGAAAAATTATATAATTATAATAGGTCTATTTTTGAAGATTACAAAACATGCTTAATTTGCTGGATCGAAAAGTGCCATCATATCTGATTCTTTACTAAAATGACTTAAATAAATTTATTTTCTTTAAAATTCAAGAACATTGCATTTTCAAAAAGCCTTTTGTATAATACCTGGACTCTCAGAGAAAACTTAAATATAGGAAATAAAAGCATTTAGTCCCTTTTTATATTGATGTTTGAAATGGGATGTAGGCTATTAGTCAATAAATTGGTATATCTACAAGGCCAAAAAAGGAACTTAACTCTTACCGATGTTTTAATCAATCAAGTATAGATAGAACATAACCTTGCATCTACATGTATTTCTTTATCAGTTATCAAACATTTCAAAAACAAAAAAGTACTAAAACCTAAATTCAACGCATAGAAAAAATATTACTTTTAACAAAGAAAGGAGAGTATACTACGAAGATCAAATATGAAACAAAACAATTTTCGCAAGCTGAGGATTTGCTCATGAATAAATGGTGCTTAGTCTATGAATGACATTTAAAAAAAGAATACAAAGTTAATTTAAACAAATTTAAACCTCAGATATCATTACCCTCCGTTGTGTTCAAAAGAATTCTTTTTATGGCATTCGATTTTCTTAGTTCTTCTGCTTTTTTATGGACACACGTTTCACCTTACGTTATCTTACTGATATCAATTTAGATGATTTTCAAGGAAAATCGCATCTTTTCCATAAAAGTGATAATTCCGTGGAGTGAAAGTTTCTATTCAATCCCCGGATACCTAACCTAATTTCCTTATAATTTGATAGTATTCAGAAAACAAAAATTGCTACTAAAATTAATATCCTTGACATCTATATCATGAACACTATGTATATCATGCAGTATATCGTCCTTCCATTTGTTAGTGTCGTTTCTTTTATCGATTTCAAAAGATAAGGAAAGGTTATACGTAAGAAATGGCTCTACATGTATATGAAGAAAGAAACCATTAATTAAAAAAAACACAATTTTTTTTTTATTATTTTTTATTATTTATTTATTTATTTATTTATTCATATATTAATTATTTATTTTTTGCATTCTAACTATAGGATTTACATGAAACCGGACGTGAACAAAATACTTACCAGCTTTTCTTTTCCTTATCACTTTGCAAAGACATAAGGATCCTACTGATAAAACAATTATAAACACTGCTGGGATAACTGTCCCCAGTATCCAGTAGATTGTTGTGAATTTTTGGGGTGTCGAGAGAGTAGCGTCAGAAGAGCTAAAAGGTTATGACAACTTGCAATTGATTTTAAAAACTTTTAAATTGTCTCTAAAGTTAAGTTTAAATAAATACATGACTCTACATTGATATGGCATATACATCTAGCTCTTTCAGGAGCAGTTTGTAAACTTCATCTATGTTAAATGGAATTTTAATAAAAATGAATGAATATACACGTTAGTTTTCTAAGATTCCAATGATTCTTAAAAATGATGTTTAAATTTATAATGGGATGTGTTACCTAAATTTGAGTAAAAAAAATACATCGCTGAGATTTTGAATGGAAATATTCATCGATACATGTTCTATCCAAAAATGAAAAATAATGCGATCAGAGAAATCAACGTATATTCATTAAAGCTAACTGTGTTCTATGAAAATAACAGAATCAATAACTACTTTTTTGTAAAACAAAAGGGTTTCTTGTATCGTTTGACATGTACATATGAACGTATACATAACTATTGTCTCTAACGTAACTATTCTATTATTTTTTAAACTTTAACTATGTAAACTTGCCCCCGTATGGCAGCAATGGCGAAAGTTAAAGTTTCTCAAATGTAAGTCAAACAGGTCAAGAGAACAAAAATGTTGGTACCCAAAGAAAAGTCTTATCTCGAGGAATATACCTGTGAAATTTTAAAGCCCTTGCAGCAACAATTCAAAAGTTATGGCGAAGGTTAAAGTTTTTTAAAAGTAAGTAAAACGTCAAGGTCAAATGGTCAAAGTTGTTGGTATCCAAAGGAAGGTCTCGTTACAAGGATTACATATGCGCAGTATGAAAGCCCTAGCACTAACCATTCAAAAGTGATGGGCAAGGTTAAAGTTTTTCGAAAGTAGGTCAAACTCCTAGGTCAAGGTCAAAGGGTCAAAGTGGTTCATATCCAAAGGAAGGTCTTGTCACAAGGATTACATACGTGAAGTATGAGAGTCCTAGAACCAACTGTTCAAAAGTTATAGCTAAGGTTATAGTTTTTCAAAAGAAGGTCAAACTCTAGATCAAGGTCAAAGGGTCAAAGTGGTTTTTATCCAAAGGAAGGTCTTGTCACAAGGAATAGACGTTTTAAATTTGAAAACCCTAGCACCAACCATTCAAAAATTATAGTCAAGTTTAATGTTTTTCAAATGTAGGTCAAATTCCTAGGTCAAAGTCAAGGAGACAAAATGGTTGGTATACAAAGGAGGGTCCTGTCACAAAAAATACACATGTGAAGTACGAAAGCCCTAGCCTCAAGTGTTAAAAAGATATAGACAAGGTTAAAGTTTTTTCAAAAGTAGGGCAAACTCCAAGGTCAAAGGATCAAAGTTGTTGGTATCGAAAGAAAGGTCTTGTCACAAGAAATACACATGTCAAGATTGAAAGCCTAAGCACCAACTGTTCAAAAGTTATGACCAAGGTTAAAGTCTCATAAAATTTTGCAAAAGTGGGTCATACTCTAAGGTCAAGGTCAAAAGGTCAAATCTGATGGTACCCAAAGAAAGGTCTTTTCACAGGGAATATACATGTGATATATGAAAGTCATAGCTCCAGCCAATCAAAAGTTATGGGCAAGGTTAAAGTTTTTGCGAACAGACAGACAGGCGGACGGACAGGGAAAAAACTATATACCCCCGAATCTTCGATATGGGGGCATAAAAATTGCAATGCAATAATATTTGTCATTAAGGTTTCTCTTACTATAGGAGACCATTTAGAATTCATTTGTTTTATAACTGGACCGTCTCTTAATATTACTCTGTATGTATAGTAAATAGCGAGGACAGGGACCTAAAGCTGAACAGCCTATTGTGGAGCACATGATACAATTTACCCATCATTGTTCTTTCTTATAGAGCCTATGCTAGGCCAAAATATAAGCGTCAATTATAAACAGTAAAATTGAAATGATATGAATTAATTTAAATCATTGAAATAAATATTTCTTGGTTTTCAGTTACTTACAGTTAATTGAATATTTGTTTTACATGCCTTTATTTTTCAGTTGATTTCTTACCTCTCTGTTGAGCTCTCCTGTGTTATGTTGACTAGTGACGTGGATTGAATTGTTTTAGGTCTTGCAATGTCGTAGCAAACACTATCTGCATAGAATATTTAGTCAATTTACTATTTATCTTAACTCTGGAGAGTGCTTTAATTTAAAAGAAAAGCAATAAAGTATTGGAAAAACACTGGAAAGCTGCAGTTTTTACTTTTACTTACAATTGTAAGCATCTGATGATAAGTAACGTGTTGGACATGGAGGGGTGTATTTTGTGCAGTCATACTTTTCATTATCAATTACTCTAGCATCTGGAACACTATACATTGCACAATAACCTTAAACGCAAAAGTTAAATTAAACATATATGTTTTGGTCTTAAGAAGTAAAAATTGTATGAATAAACAATCAGCTATATTGATAGCAAGAACAATTTCTTCATTCTATTTACAAAACTCACCCGATATATACCACGTTGGAGCACAAACTTCGACAGTTGCATTTGCCCATGCATTTATCAGACAGTGATATACAAACGGAGGGTGGTCAGTATTTTTTATTCGATCACAGTGCTTTCTTTCTGCAGCTTCCTGCCAATCTTCCTTATTCCTAGGACAATCTGGAACTTCGTTTAACGTTGGTAATGACGCTGGATATTTACCTTCATTAAGTCCGAAAACCTGTGTTTAATATGATATCAACAAATGTACATGTAAGAGTGAGTCAGTCTTGAAAAATGATAGAAGATTTCCTAGTCTGTTGAACTTTCTAGGATTTTCTTATTTTTTCTACTAGTTCATCAACACCCCGTTCTAACAACTTCGGGGCGTCATATGTTAGTAATTGAATTCAAACAGTATATTTATATATAAATGCAAAAACATTTGCAAATAAATAGGTGTTCGCTGTAACGTATCGAGTTCTTTGCAAATGTTTCAGAACCTCAGCTTCCTTTTCATTTTCATTAATTATAGGAAAAAAGGGTGCACAATCTCAAAAAGGTAAAGGGTGCAAATAATGAACAATCTTATAACTCTTCTTAAACGATGCACATGTTTTAAACGCGGCATAAATTACAGACACTGAAATCACCAAAGGTGATATTTATTCGTGCTCAAAAGTCAATTAGCAAAGACCTCTAAAACATCAGAGGTGGGACCAGGTGCCATGGAGGAATGAGCATCCCTAGCGAACCGGTCACATCCGCCGTGTGCTTCTTGTCATGATCTTGGAAAACGGGGAAAACAATGTGAAAATAACGGACAAACAGTTAGTATGATGACTTCAAACAAGACTGTTGATATCCTTGTTTCATCAACTTGTTTATCAATTTGTCATGTGAGAAGAATTCAGATAGATTAAACCTTGTGGTAGTTTACTTCTCAAATTGACTTTATTTTGTCTTTTTCATAATAATTATAACAGACTGGCCCAAGACTAGCTGATGGCATTTCAAAGCCTTAATAAATGTCTATTACATGTATCATAGCCATTAATACTACAAAAAATACAGATAATTGTCAACTAATCGCCTAAGAAAGGAGAAACTTAGAATTCTACGTTTATGAATCAATTGTTTGCAAATGTGAGCATGGAAATAAATAGATAATATTGTACATTTTGTATTAAATATTTTTAAAATGCTAAAATGTAATGCGCTTCCCAGAACGAGTAAAAATTTTGGCATAAATTTTTTGAAGGATTCTTGTAGTCCCCATAGTGAAACACATAAACCCCATATGCAGGTGATAATGGTTTATTGTTACATAAGTAAGGGAAGTTGACGATTGAAAAGTTGAGAAGTCGTTACAATTATCTTAAAGCTTTTAGCTTGTTGTTAGATTACCATTAACGTCTTTTTCTAGTAAGATATCCAAATATAAATCAGGTTGTCAGACTCTCCGGTATCTTTTATTTTAAGCTCTTTGGGATATATATCGAGTGGACATATGAATGGAACTAACTTTTGTTAATTGATAATACGTCGTCGATATATCGAAATGTCGAGGTGAAGACCACTGCAAGTGTGTTTTTTTTTTTCCTTTTCATGTTTAAAGTTTTTTTATAAATTCTGCTTCATATGAATACAAAAATAGGTTTGCTAATAAGGGGTGTCACTGCATGGTACCCATGGGAATTCCAACAGATTGTTGGAAGACCTGAACTCCAAAAACTTTATAGGAATTGTTCATCAGAAACTCAAGATATGATGAATGCATAATTATGTAAAAACTGATATAAACTGTGTTAACTTTTTCAGAAGAAGTGACTCTCATTTTTAAAATGCTAAATGAGAACACTTACAATTTATGACATGAATAAAAGGCATACAATAAAAAAAAAAAAGAATCGTACAACTTACAATTTTTATCGATGCTATTGCAATAAGGTACCTCAAAAGGCGAGTCTTCTTCCCTTTCTTTTCAGCATTCATTATACATGTATGTCTATATCATAATATAAAGACTGGAGTATTAATCCATTTTCAATATATGACATACATGCTTCTTATGTTAAAATTGTCTTATTGTCTTATCTTTTTCTTATTACATATGATCAAAATATTATTGGAATATTTATATCAAGTTTACCTGGTATATCAAAATTTTATTTCTAATAAATTGAAGTATATAAGTTATGCAAAACATAGGAAGCGCTGTCGTCATTCGCACAATACATGTTTTAAATTAATGAAAAATGTATATAAATGTAGGTTGCTTTTTTTTTTTTTTTTTTTTTTTTTTTTTTTTTTTTTTTGGTTGTTTTTATCAACATGGATTTATATGGAGGGTAATCATGTTCAAAAATCCAGACTTGTAAGTTTGTAAATCCAAACTTGTAAGTTTGTAAATCCAAACTTGTAATCGTATCAGTTTCATAGTCTACATATGTTAGTAGGTAATTCCGACATCCTAGCATGTAGTTCTGAACATACAACTGTGTTGAATTTGAGTTTATACTATGAATGTGTGTATTTTTGATGTTGTAAACTTTGTTTTCCGGAATTTATATTTCCGCGCTCTGAATAAAACACAAAGACAATTGACAAGTCTAAATGTAAAGTCTACATGATTATGAGAAACTATGGAGAGCATCAGTGCCAGATTTTTTTTTTCCTTTTTTTTCTAACTTCTTCTTTTTCCTATTGAAATAAATTATTTAGATTTTCTTTCTTTTTTTTTTATTCTAACTTCCAATTTTATATTAATATTTTCATTTGAATTTCTTATTTAATTTAATTCTAACTTTTTGTTTATATGTTCCAATTTTATTTTATCTTCTTATTTTTATATTATTTGACGATGTGACATGAATCATTACCCGCTTATTCACGGCTTGCGCGGATCTAGAGGGGCTTCGGTTTTTAAGGTCTCAACCGAAAAATTATTCAATTTGAGTTTCAATATTAAACCACTCAATAGATGCAGATCAGTATCAATGTTTATCGAGGGGGGGGGGGGCAAAAAAAAATTGACGATGAAAAAATAAATAAACTGCCAAAACGTCTCCTCCATGGGAGGCTATGTTTAGGATATCTTTCTTTTACCATTTTAACTTTTCAGTTGTTTTTTTTTATCAACGCAAGAATTTGCCAGAGTTTGATGATATTGCAAAAAAAAAAAAAAAAAAAAAAAAAGTGGGGAGGGTGCAGCCTATAAATGAATTTTCATAATAAAACAATTGCAAAAGATTATTCTCCACACAAAAATGTTGGGAGCCCAACCTTTCGCACCCTCCTATACTTCGGCCCTGAGATTTGTTAGTGAAAAAATTTCTCTGTCCTACTTTAAAAAAATAATGTGATGACAATGTCAGTTTAAAGATATACCAGATATTTATGTACCATAAGCGGGAAATCAAAAATGGCGGTCATATTTATCATATTTGAAACATCTTGCACCAGGGCCATAAAACTTAGACGGGCTTACTTTTGATCACAGTCTCACGTATACCAAAGGAATTAATAGTATGTAGAAAAAAGAGACTGGGATCAAAAGTGAGCTCATCTAAGTTTTATGGCCCCGACAGCGATTGGGATGAAGGTGCCAGTATATACTATACCAATAAAAAAGAACAATTTCTGATTGTGCCACCTAGCTCAATAATTTTGTCGGTAAATACATAAGAAAAGAAATAAGACTAATTTATCGTTGTGCACCATCAACAGGAATGTCTCTTTTTTTTTGGGGGGGGGGGGGGGGGGGCTTATCAAGAAATTTTTGTTTTGTGCCCACTGCTCCACCTCCACCCCACCCAATGAAAATGCTTCCTACGGGCCTGAAAACGAGAGTAAACACGTAAGAATGATATCATATGGCTTTTAAAATGAAAAAAAAATTTCCAGGGAAATGTTTCTACGTTTCGTAGCTAGATTGTTCTCTGTGTACTAGTACATAAAAGGCCGTAGCGCCCCTTTTCGTTTAAATTTTATTCGGATTTCTTAGTTTAACTCTGTAAGTTCTTTCTTAAACAAACTTTCGATTTTGCTTATAGTTGTTACCAAAAAAAGTATTAAGTTAGGTAAAGTGAAACATAATTGAAATTTTAAGATAGAATCAAAATACGAAAGGAATCAAAATTGCCACATTAAAATAAATAAAATAAAATAAAACTGGAAAAAATATCCCAGTCCAAAAAAAAATCCAACCCAGAAATTCCTTGACAAGCAAATAAAAAAGTAAACTCCTTTCCCAAGGATGTAAAACCTATTTCGCGCGCACGCGCGCGTGTGTGTGTGTGTTGGGGGAGGGGTGGGGTGGGGGGAAGTCGTCAACTTAACACAGATCAGCGTTTTCGAGGGGGGTCCAAGGTCACTTTTAGTTCGTTTAGTAGAAACATTTAATAAGTCTGCAAATTTCAGGGGGGGGGGGGGTCCGGACCCCCTTCTAGATCCGCGCTTTCGAGAAGTAAGAATTAAAATAAGAAATAATAAATGAAGAATTTAATTTGGAAATCAAAAAGTTAGAATAAAAAAAAGAAAATGAGGAAATTTAAAAATAATTGTGGCACTGATGCCCCTCATTATCAAAATTCGACAAACGTGTAGACTTTACATTTGTAGACTTGTCAATATTGTCTTTGTGTTTTATTCAGAGCGCGGAAATATAAATTCCGGAAAATAAAGTTTACAACATCAAAAACACACACATTCATAGTATAAATTCAAAGTCAACACAGTTTTATGTTCGGAAATACATGCTAGGATGTCGGAATTACCTACTTACACATGTAGATTATGAAACTGATACGATTACATGTTTGGATTTACAAACTTACAAGTTTGGATTTACAAACTTACAAGTCTGGATTTTTGAACACGATTACCCTCCATATATTTACAGGTGAAGCGTAAATAGTTTATTCACATAAAGTGTACAGATATATGTCTGTTATTTTCACCAGTCGAACTTGTTAAAGATATCTCCCCATTTCAAGTTCATCACGATCAGATCGGGGCTTTAATAAGTTGATATAAACGTAAACAAAAAGTAGAGAGTGGGATGTTACTAAAACGAAAGGACCCAGAGCCCCTGCGAATTCACTTCTGTCCTATCAGAATACCTATTGCAGTCATCTAAATATTTAAGTTTACTTATTAACTTTAAAAAAAAAATCAATTGCAATGAGCATTCTCCTTGAACATTACTAGTATTCTTAAAACTTGTTTAATGATTCATGTAAAATTCATGATTTCACAATGATCATAAATTCGGATTTTTACTTATGATATATGTATCTTGAGGGAAGCAGATTTTGACCAATCAAAATGTATTTTCTGAAATTCTGGCCATGTGGAGCTTCACATATGCTTCAGAGAAAGCTTTTTTATCCAGTCTGATTAAAAACAGCCCCCTTCTCATATCGCCGTCGACGACAGGAGTTTAATCACTCTTCTATTTATCCAGGATATAGAATTACCTCCTGCCGTATTGACATTTACTACAAATTGAAGCAGTATTTGTACAAACATAAAGCAAATATTTTGACGGAGTCAGTACTATTTTTGTCGTCTGTAATTCTTAACTTCAAATTTCAATTAGTTATTTACAGTATAACATTATAACAAGTATGTAGATATGACTTTTTATAGAATAAAGGGAACCTCTACGTCCCAATAATATAAAATATTGAACTCAACCACTAAATAGGTCGATCTATCTTTTTCAAATGTTTAAAAATTATATATCCCAGTTTTACAACAGAAAGAGTTAGCTTTAACGTATATACAAAGGAGGAGCACAAACAATCTATGTTTTGTCAACGAATACAGGTGTTAATCCCCCCCCCCCTTTATTAGTAAAGCGAAAACTAATATTAGGTAATGTGTAATAGTTGTAATAATGGGTTCATGAATTGGGACTTTTTGAAGAAAAATATCACAGTAGTAGTACTTTCCTGATGAAAAGTTAAAGCGATAAATTTAAGTATCTACATGTTCTACCTCAAATGCATAGTTTATGATTACATTGTATAACATAAATAAGAAAGTGCTACTTGCCTGTTTGTCTAGTAGTAAAGGAAATCCTACTTTCGTTTTTTAATAACATCACAGGGGGCAGATACAAGATATTAAATTAAAGAAGACACAACATACATGTTAAATAAATGAGGATATATACATACATTGACTAATCAGAACAAGAGAGAAGATTTATAAAGTATTTTGCACTGCTTTAATTTGCTACATATGTGACAGGGGCTCAGTGCATCCGTACTGTGAGGGATGTATAGAATGATTGAAGAAATACGAACAGCAGTCGATGGATCAAGCTGTGTTATGAGTGGTGGATGATTCATCATTAGCCGAAATTCAATTGAAAAAAAAAATGGATTTTTTTCTCTCTCGACAATGAAGTATGTTAACGGCATTTATTTTAAATTGATATAAACTTTAATCTTTAACTACATCGTACCTTGGACAAAACTCATGAAAAAGGGTGCATATGTAATTTAATATGACAGGGAAATTTAAACAAATGCTTTCTTTGGTTGTTGGTACCGGAATTAATGTCGCAGCTATTGCAGAAAAAAATACATAACCCGCGTATGTAATGTTATGTTTATTTTATCCCCGCTCCTCTCACTGCGTTTGGCTATTTTTTTATCCATTTTTTTTTATCGAATGTAAACAAATTAGTTGGCTTGGATTGCTCAAGGACGAGTTCGTAATTTTTAATTCTTGAATCACAGAATAAAACAAACATTGCTGTTCCCTCAGTCAATACGACGATTTAGCCACCTTCGAAGAACGATATCCCTTTTTCTAACTTCTTGTTCGGTGAATATTAATATACTCATCAATAAGTGAGTATATCATCGCATTGATCTCAAAAACAGCAAAAATTGTGAAGTGTTATCAAAGCTATAAATTAGGTGATTATGATATCACAATATACAGTTGTAAATAATGCTTTATTTCCAGAAATCTTTGCTCTTAAGGTAGAAAA